CTGGGGAATTCTGGGAGTTGAAGTCCACCCATCTGAAAGTGGCCAAGGTTGAGAAACACTGCTCTAATCCAAGCAGCAAATGACAGGGTTACCCATGTAGCAGAGCACAGAGGACCACTTCAGGCTATAAAGAAGCACCACATGATTTGCTGGAAACACCCCCCTGATGAGCTAGTTTTCTACATACTGGGAGAGATTCCCAGAATCTGCAGCCAGGATTTAAAGGTGGATCGTTATTTCACGCGTGCAAAGAGAAGAGAGTAGCGGCCACCCGCCCAGCGTGAAACCCACGTGCCACTTCAGCTGCAGACGCTCTCCGAGAGTTCCAGCAGGGTCCCCTTCCATTTCTCATCCACAAGGAGACGGGAAACCTTGTTCTCCAGGGGAGCCGCGCTCTTGAAGGCACTCTTCTGGAAGACAACGCTGTCCTCGGTGATGGTCAAGCCGTGCGCCCGGCACAATTCAGCAGCCTCTTCGGGGCTGTCGGTGGCCAGCAGGTGGGTCAGCCGGGCCAGAGGGTAGCGGCAGTTCCTCGCACTGAAGCCGTGGCTGAACGTGAGCAAGGCCAGCTGCCGGGCCCTGGCCAGGTGGGGATGGAGGGCGCAGCTGGGCAGGTAAGGGAGCTCCCGAGCCAAGCGGAAGAAGCGGGCGAAGTTACCTTCCAGGAAAGCCCAGTTGATGGCCAGGGCAGCTTTGAGGTCAGGAGACGCTCGGACCTCGTCGGCCAGCTGGAGGATCTGCCAGAGCACCTCTGGGGAACCTGGTGGGGGGAGGACCGGGAGATCAGGCAAAAGGAAGAACAAACAAAGGGGGGGGGCAAGACCACCCTCCATACTATGCTAGTAGAGCACCGATGCAGGGCGATGGGAGCTGTAGTGCCCTGGATCTAGAGCTTGGGTTGCACAGAACTCACCCATCCCCTCGAGGCAACTTGTGAGAAACAGAAGAGCCCATGCGCTATTTGGTAACATCGCACGCTCATTTGGACACACTGCACACAAGTCTATCTGCTATCTATCCATCCATCCATCCATCCATCCACCCACGTGCACACACCCGCGGGGGCCGCCGCCCTCTGCCACGACCAGGCCCTGGGGCTCCCGTTCCAAGGCTGAGCCTCTCCCGGCCGGGCTGCGAGAGGCGCGCAAGGAGTCGCGGCTGTCGAAGAGCAGCTCA